ACGAGAGATTATCCCATTAAGGTGAACGTGGGTGATGAAGTCTGCATCAAATTCTGGCTTAGTACGCGTGTCATCGTGCATCTAATACATTGTCACGTATTCGTGCAGTTTGTTTGACTATTTAGCAAGATAAATAACGATAAATATTCTACAAATATAAAATAAATTGAATATAACTTGAAAGGCATAGAAACATTTTACGTCAATTAATGTCTAATTTAATAAACCCAGGAAGCTGGAGAAATTATACCAAATGTGTGGAATAGTAATTAAAACGTCATTGAAGGATTTGCTTATTCTAAAATGGCTGAAACACTTAAAGGGCGGTGGTCGTCGCGCTGCGTCGTGTTCGACGACGTACACAATGCAATTCATTGTTTGTTAGGATGAATCTCCCTTTAAATAAGGACAACAAGCCTAGATTAGTAACAATCCAAGGACATACACAAAGGTGAAAACAGTAATAATATAATATTGTCATTTTCACTCAATAAGTAATCATAATTGTTTCGATAGTCGTCATGACGCGTACAGTTCGGTATGGGTCCCATGGCGACGTATACAACACAGCGCGTACACTGTTTCGATACTGTTCAGAATGCCATATTCTGACAGCTTTGTATTTTAAGCTGTATTTGATTTCTTTACAAGCGATAATTTATTAACACTAGAGTCAGTGTTACCAAGTTTATCGGTGATACTAGTAACCAAATAACTCGTAAGTTATGAACGTAGAGGGCGTCAACATATAGAACCGCCGGACAGTAATATAGATCATAAACTGTCTATACAATAAAACCAGTTCCCCCAGCTTACCTGTAATCAAGCTAGTACCCCTAACTTACTATACAATAAACAACATGTCATACTAGTAGTTGTTGCCACAATAAATGTCGCGCCATGTATATTACTATGTTAGTAAATAACGCGTCATTAATTTTGATTTTAGTCTTGTTTCGACTTAACAGTATTAGTTCCCCTCGACTCGTGAAGATAAATGTATTTACTTTGTCTGTGGTCACTA